TGAGAAATGGTCTATGGAAAAGCTTGCGAATTCTTTTGTAAAGGAAATTGTGAGGCTTCACAGTGTTCCATTAACGATTGTATCGGACCGTGATAGCCGTTTCACCTCAAGATTTTGGAAAAGTCTACAAGAGGAAATGGGTACCAAGTTATGTTTAAGTACAGCTTACCATCCGCAGACTGATGGTCAGAGTGAAAGAACAATACAAACACTTGAAGATATGCTGAGAGCATGTACCCTGGAATTCCTAGGTAATTAGGATGAACATTTACCTTTGGTAGAATTTTCCTACAATAATAGTTTCCACTCGAGCATAAAGATGACACCTTATCAAGCTCTGTACGGACAGAAGTGTCGTACGCCGTCTTGTTGGCTTGAGGCTGGGGAAAAGCAGTTATGGGTCCCGAGATGGTCCATCAAACTGTTGAGAAGTTGAAAGTGATCAGGGAAAGAATGTTAGCAGCTCAGGATCGTCAAAGAGCTATGCTGACAAGAAGCAAAGATCGATGACTTTTGAGGTTGGAGATTCGGTTTTGCTTAAAGTCTCGTCGTGGAAGGGACTTATAAGATTTGGTAAAAGGGGAAAGTTGAGTCCAAGGTTTATTGGACCGTTTAATGTTCTTTAGAGAATTGGGAACCAAGCTTACAAGCTCGAATTACCCGAAGAACTGAATGGAATTCCCAACACTTTTCATGTGTGTTATTTGAGGAAGTTCACGGGAGAAGTTCCCGATATAATTCCAATTTCTGAATTGAGAATTGATGAAAACAAGAGGTTAATTGAAGAACCAAAGGCAATTGTTGACTGAAAGACTAAGAAGCTTCGACGCAAGATGGTGGAACTAGTGCTTGTCCGTTGGAAACATATGAATGGGTCAAATCTCACCTGGGAAACGGAGAGTGACATGTTGAGTTGCTATCCACATTTGTTTGTTGATGTGTGATTCCGGGGACGGAATCATCCTAAGGGGGAGAGAATTGTAACGCCCGCGTTTCCAGGCTAGGCATTATCATTGATGTAATAGTCTAGGTTAACCCTCGTAACTCTTTTTAAAGTATGAATGATGAAATATTTGAGTATTATGTGAATTATGTGTTTATTTTCTTAATTATTATAATTTAATGAATTAAGAATAAAATAAGCATCAAAATTAAAGTATGAGATAATCCCGATATCTTTGCATAAATATGTAGTCGTCGAAACAAGGATTCCGAAGATATAAAGAATGCCGAAATCCGAGTTATAACGAAGAAGTTATGACCTGTCGAAGTTTCGCGACAGAACCGACAACGCTGAATGACGTAAAAAGTGAAATTTACGTTAGAGAAATATTTAGCCTTAGCGATCTAAACGAAAGTCATAGAGTTCGTTAAACCGAAAGCGTGCATAAAAAGAACGCCCAAATCTGAATTCGTATGAGGAAGTTATGATTTTTCGAAGTTTCGACTTAGCAGTATGCAACCCGAATACTCGATTTGAGATCGAGCGGTTTTTAGCCGAAGCAATCTAAACGAGAATCAAAGATCTCGTTGTTAGTAGCGAAACGATGAAAATTTAGGCGAAAACGGACGTCGGACGAAGAAGTTATGAATTTATAATGAAGTTTTCCTGTCCGGACCTACTAAAAATAAATAATAAAAATAAATCAAAATTAGCCAACGGAGTCTAAACGAAAGTGGTAGAGCGTAGTCTCACCTACGCGTGGTTATAAAGAACGTCGAAAACGGAGTTCGTATGAAGAAGATATGAATTTTCAAAGTTTATTAAATAATTAATATTTAAATTTAATTCTTATATCCGATATTATCCGAAGAGGAGTCACCGGACTCATCCGAAGTAAGCCCAGCATACTGGCGTACGCCCAACGTAGCGCGAAGCATGACGCACCTCACACTCGAGTTCTTCGGATGATGCATGCCATGACGAATTCGGAGGTGCGCCCCGCGTACAGCTGTACGCCCAACGTACTGCGAGGCCTCAGCCTCCTGTAAATAGGATGCGAGGGTTCCAGGTATTTTTGCTCATTTCTTCTCCTTTTTGTGCCGAAGCTCTGTGCGTAAACCCCTGAAGCCATCCCGACACCCCGGATCTTATATCCAAGTTGAGAAGGAAGTTTTACGCTCCCGAGATCCCGAGAAGTGCGCCTTCCCGAGCCGAAGCTCTGCCCGCGAGGAGTCAGGTTTTTGTGAAGATCTTCCAGATCTACTGAAGAATACTACTTCTATAAGCCGTAGTGCTGTCCGATCATCTTCTGATCAAGTGAGTGTGTGGTTACTTTCTTCTAACGCATAATTATGAAGTATTTTATACGAAATATGTGTTATGTGTATATTTTGTTGTTATATGCGTGAATGGATATTCACTTTTTTCTATCTCATAGATGCGATTTATTCTCTATGAAATACGTGTTATGTGTTTGTGTCTCATATGTTGTTTTGGAATATGTATTGAGTGAGAATGCTATACAGGTTTTAAACTATGTATAAAAATATATATTTTTATCTACTAATATGTCGGGTAGAACATGGGTAGATAGTTGACATGTGATAAACATATGAGAGGCCTCGATGTTGTTTTTTATTCAGTCATCTAGCGGAGTTTAGATGACGACCGCAAACTTTTCTAGACAGTCGTGTGGAACGCTAGCAGGTTCGCCACCTGTAGGTGTTAATGAACTTGGGTGTTCATTCGGTGTACTCCACCCCCTTCATGGTTGCCTTATTTGACATATATTACCGGGAAACCCCCGAATGCATGTGTTGTCGCCCCGATGAAATATTCTAAGACTAGGTCCCTTGTGTTAGTTGTTTTAGGGACGTAAAGTGAGAATAACGGGAATGGGTAATTGGGTTATTGTTGGTTGGTGAAATTATATATAATTATTTATTGTGGGTTGAAAACCCTATATGCTCACTAGGCTCCCAAGCCTGACCCACTCAGTTTTATTTGTATTCCAGGAAGTGGCGCAAGGGCATAAGATGGATGAATCATCAAGTTGTTTTGTTTACAAGTCTGTATATGTATATATTTGTTGAATGACTTGTAATGTTATCGTTTATGCTTTATGGTCTGTATCGGAACATGACATCCCGAGTTCTTATTATATAATGAAAATACATTTCTTTTATGAAATGCTTTGGTAAATATTATTTTATCACGTTTTGTTTTTTGGGAACAAATTCCGCAACTCTTTCAAATCAAAAGGATTTACTCTGAAATTATTTTAAAAGCATAAATGAAAATCGGTCTTTTCTGGCCGAGATTTTGGGGATGTCACAGGTTCACAGCAATTTAGCTTTATAATTATCACTATCATTCAATTGGTACTGTCATTTGGACGGAAGGATGCAATTTAGGTTTTCTTCTTTTATTCATGCTATGACACTTTCAATTTTTGTACAGTTCAAATTTATTGAATGCTTTCAATGGATGACAAAAAATGTCTATCAGGATACTACTTTCAGATATCAAGGTTACTTTACCAGTGTTTCCAGTAGTTTTGGAATAAGTGTTAATACAACTCTTGGTTATATTCAATTTCACATATTTCCAACCCACAACAGGTTACTTCTCTTTCACTTTTCATTTACAGATAATTGTTTTTCAATAGCTGCAGATGGATCTGTCGTCATTTCCGATGAATTGGTGCTCATAAAAGCAAGTTCTGCCAACTAATTTGCACCTTTCCTAAGAAGTAAATATAACCCATTTTCAAGATTTCATTTTTTAAAGATTTAATGACTCCACATCAACATTTGACATGTTTTTGGGATGAAATTGCAGGGTGTATGTTCCATAGTAAGGGTAGTTTGATGAGTTTTGACCATCCAATGAACAAAAGGCAATCCTAAGGGTGGATAGTGAAGGCGAGATGTGTGGGCCTAATTTTAAAGAGGACACTTAATCTAGGGGTACTGAAACTAATTGGACACAATGGGATGATGATTTTTGATTGTAAATCATGATCAATCATCAATGTCCTATTTTACATCAACTTTTTTTTTTTTTTTTTAGTCTCCGAGATTTATTTTACTTCAACTTTTTGTTTGTTTCTAGAATGTAAGTATTTAATTTTGTGAAATAATTTGACTAATGTCAATTCAATTTTTTTTGGCCTAAAAACGTTTTTTGTTCGTTGCAGCTTCGATGAGGTATTGGAAGGTTGGTTTTCAGAATATATGTTATACAACTTCAGTGGCTCAGATAAAACTAATATGTTTAAGGGGAGGGGTAGTCAATCGCATTACTGGTTATCTTCTACTTATCGATTATTTTATAAAAGTATGTAAATAACTAAATAAGTGACTAATTATCAGATTAAATAAATTACTTTTTTGCTTTCAGATATATGTTCCAACAAATCCTCAGGGAGCAGAACCGTTGCCTCCAACTATTGTTGTTTAGCTACAGAGACACTGATTATTATTTGAGAAGATTATGGAGTGCACCCGCAGAGGTGTATAATATATTTATTAATTATTATATCTTTTAGTTTAGCTATTAAGTTTTGTTCATTATTAAAGGATGTTGAAAATTTCAGGGTTTAAAGAACCTAAGGTATTTGCTAACTCAACATGTTTAGAAATTTCGCAAGCTGGACTTGAATCCAATGAGGGATTAACTTGGGAAATGATTAAAAGAAGAGGCGATAAAGTTCACAAGTACATCACCTTATATATATATATATATATATATATATATATATATATATATATATATATATATATATATATATATATATATATATATATATATAATATTCTAAAAATTAAAATCGAAAGCAACACTTGAAAATTATATATATATATTTGATTGTGAATATGGTCTCTGTAAGGTACTGTTAATTTAATATCAAAGTTCTGTTTTTTGATGTTTTTACTTAGCGTCATGAATCATTTCTTTTGGATTTGTCGCCATTTATGTTTATAAATGCATAGATGCAGGGCATCAGGAGAGAATCGAATAGGGTTTAGTGAGTATGTGTGATCAAAGGGCAAGAATGTTGCAAGATCAATTTAGGATTAGTGTAAATCATGTACATGCTTTGGGTGTTCTGGTGTTGACTTTTCATTATTACAAGAACCCATTAGCAATCGATCAGGTTTGAACATTATTAATGTGTGTTTGTTTATCTTTTTGTGATTGAATTTGTTTTTTTTTTTTCGAATCTAGGAAACATTTGCAGAATACACAGCAAGAACAACATTTGAGCGACCTTTGTTGAGTGGAGTTGCATATGCACAAAGGGTAATGAATTACGAGGGAGAAGACCTCCAGAGACAACATGATGGGACCATAAGAACAAGGACGAAAGAGCCCTCACCATTTCGTGACGAATATGCCCTTGTAATTTTCGCCCAAGAAACCATTTCCTATCTTAAATCGGTAGATATGATGTCTGGCAAGGTATGTTTTTTTATACTTATTTTAATAATTATATTTTATAAATGTTTGTTATACAGGTATAAAAATATAAAATATATACCCTTCGAAGTTAAATTTAAGGAACTCGAATTTGATGATAGGAGGGCAACGAGAACATATTGAGGGCTATACTAACTGGGAAATCCGTGCTCGCAAGCCCTTTCAAGCTTCTGGGTTCTAATCATCTAGGGGTAGTTTTGACATTTCCTGTGTACAAATCAAAGCTTCCACCAAACACATCTGTTCAAGAACGCATCGCAGCTACTGCCGGGTAAAATTCGGGTTATTTTTTTCCCATTAACAAGTTCCGGTAAGGTGACCATTTTACCCTTACAACCCTTACTCACAAATATGCAACAATTTTCATAATATTTATTTGTTTTAACGTGAGAGCAATTAAAAAAAAAAGACAAATAGGAAAAGGGTTAGTGACGGAATACAATAAACAAAGTTTTTTATTTTTTGACTTAATCTGTTAAGTCATTTGGTCCTGACTAAGTAAAAAAAACAGCCATATATACTTGTCAGATTAAGTGCTCAACGCATTGAGTTAAAAAGAAACAAAGATGACTTATGTTTTTTTGTTAGCATCCCACATTGGTTAGAAATACGGTGCAATTTGTGTATGTTGGAGTCTAAACCATTTTTTTAGTGCTTTTTTGGAGAGAAAATCATATATCTATAATTTTTTTTTTTTTTTGGGATAAACATAAACATATATCTTGGCGGAGATTTTGATGTTCAGTCACTATTAGAAAATTTACTTTTGTATTTTTTTGTTGTTTTTTCTTTGTATGGTGGTGGAAGTGAAACAAAAACCGAATACATGTGAAGGTTGTGGGTTATATCTTTCTTTAAACGAAATCTTTATAGCTTTGCAGACAGTGACACTTTTACCCGATTCAATGGCAATCTCAGCCAGGTAAAAAATTTGATCTTTTAAACATTTATAATAAATCAATTAAGTGAATTAATGAACATATTAGGAAAAAAATGTCGGTTTGGATTTCGCTGCAATAGTTCTAACTTAAGGTCATGACGGGAATTATAATTTTGTAGGGAGCTCGTCATGCACCGCAACTACTCATGCCTAATAAGTGAATAAACCCACTCTCTTAAGAATATGCAGCTTACCCTGCTCAATGGCTCTATCTTTTATGAATAGTTTGTGATGAGTCATCGGTCTATTTTTTTCTCGGTGGAGAAGAACACCATGACACCTGCGATGGAACCCTTAGCGGTTTGTTTGCAGTTGTTCAAATAATATCATTTTTATTTGTGGAACCCACCCTTAGCAGTTTGTTTAAAGTTGTTCAAATAATATCATTTTTACTAAAATAGACTATTGGATGATTTATTAAAATTTGTTCCTTATGATGCAAATTTTGTAATGGTTAGTGAGATTTAATACCTTTGTTTTTACTAAAATAGACCAGGGAAAACTAATATGGCTTATGTTTATTTGTGTCAAATGTTTATTATGTAGAGTGTCAGTAGAATAATTAAGAGTGTTATTTTATTTATAAAAGTGTCGATAGGATATTTTTATGTAAAGTGTCGGTTGTATTATTTGTGATGTAACATAAAGTGTGTAACCCTCAATAGTCTAGGGGGCTATAATGTAAATATGTGTGTCGTTTTGCAATCAAACGATTGCAAACCAATTATGTAACCGGCTCCTTCGAGCCTATAAATAGGGCCTTTGCCCAAATGAAATGAACAAGTTAAGTTTGAGTGTTTAAGACTTGAGTTGATCTCAATTGTCTTATCTGTTGAAATAGTTGTTCTATTTCTGAATAGCAGAGTCCTATACAAACTATCCATTTAAATATTCAATTATCCAACACAATCCATCATCAAGATAATCCAACGCATTATTCAGGTATAATCTTTTCATAATCTTTATCAATTCCGTCATGATTTTCAATTTGGTATCAAAGCAATTAATCTGTCATCATGTGATTTTCAATTTGGTATCAGAGCCAAGTATCGTTCTTATTATAATTATGAATGATAAATCTTTCGTTCATATGAATACATGTTCATCATACATCATGAATATTCATCGTTCCAAACATTCATAATAAATAAATAAATAAATTATCATTTTGTTTCTAAAAGTTATAATCATGAGTTTTTCAGGTTTAAAAATCTTGAAGATAAAATAACAAGAATAATTTATTAAATATGTCTCAAGAAATAGAAAATACACCAATTATTATTAATAACGAAGAAAATGAATCAGGATACACCTTTGATGCTCTAATTAATAAAAATAATATTAATAAAGATGCTATAAGAAAATCAAATTTTACACTATCTGAAAAACATAATTTTAGATATAACTCATTAAAAAATTTCTTTTCTAGAAAAAATATTATATATTATGGAAAAATTATAGGAGAAGAACCAATACCAATAGAATCAACACAAGGAAATATTATTATACCAATAATAAATAAACAACAAATTAGAAATAGATTATCTAATATTAAAGAAGTAGATAGAACAAAAATCGCTTATATTCATATATCAACTATTCAAATAATTTTAAAAAGTACTTTTAGCGATTTAGACACACCAATAGAATTAGAAATTAGAGATGATCGTATAATTAATAATCAAGAAAGTATTATTGCAAAAGGAAAAGGAAATTTAATTGAAGGAAAAATAAAATTTGATATTAATATACAACTAGGATTAAGTCTAAAAGATAAAAATTTAAGTAATAGTATTACCGTACGATATAAATTATTAAGACAAAATTTTATGTTAAAAGGGAATCATCCATTTACTATTACATATCAAATAAATTATGCATTAACAAATTCTCATCATAGTATTACGTTTAAAACAGAAGATAGAATTTATATAGATACGTTATTTATCCCTTTATTATCACTTGAATCACCAAATATGAATAATAATAGAATTTTTAATGAAACTAATTTTCAACCAATAATAACTACTCCGTTGATAAAAAGAAATCCGATTATAGAACCTCCAATTTCAACTATAACAGGTAGATTTTCTATATCAGAAAATCAACCTACAACATTTACTAATAGCCAAGATGAAAAATTAGAAGACATAAAACAAATGATTAAATCATTAAGTTTAAGAATATGACAGAATCATCTAGTAGTCCTTTAAAATATTTTAAAACACTTGAAGGCTCATATCAAAATACAAAACCGTGCATACCAGATAAAGAAATGATTATAGAAATACCACAAAATTTACCACAAGGAACAATATATAATATTGGTCTTGATTCTGAAGAAGATAAATCAATAGGAGATAAGTTAAATATAATTAGTCAAAAATTGAATAATATTCTAGAAATAGAAAGTTTACTTGTACTAAAACAAATTCCTGAGCTATTACAAAGTTTAACTCAACAGAAAATATTACTTGAAAAATATTTAAAAATAAAAACTATTAAAGAAGAGCCACATGAGAAACCGTTTGAACAAAAACCACTCACTATTAAACCACATTTTACATGGTAAAAATAAATAATGAGCAATAAAACTCAAATATATTGTAATTTCGATAATAAATATAAAGCCGATTTACTTAAAAAATTATGGAAAGATTTAGAAAATTCCACGAAACATTTAAAAGAAAAAGAATTTGAAGTACAAGAACTAATTTCTAAAAACAAAAATTATACTGCATATCAATTAATTAAAATAGGAAGATTAAGAACTCAAATTAATCATTTTAAAATAGTAATAAAAAACATTAACAATTCAATTAATTTTCTTTCAGACACCTTAATAATCTGTTAAAATGAATTCAAAAGTACAAATTAATTCTTCAAAAGATAACATGCTTTGGACTAATATATTAAAAAATCATTGGAAAATAAATTCTAATATCTCTAATACCATTCAACATTTAGAAAAAACTTTATCATATGAACAAAATTGTTTGATAAAATTACACTCGGAAAGTGAAGAATATAGTAATCAATTAAAAAAGATATCTCGATTACAAGAAGGAATTAAGAAATACAAAAAATCACAAAATCGTAATTTAAAAACAATACGCAATGCTTCAACCATTCTAACAAACACAACTTGTTAAAACTTTGCACATATAGAAATTTATAAACCAACTCTAATGAGTCGAAAAAAAACAAATATTAATCCAAATAGTACCTTTATTACAACTAAAATACAAGAAAAAGAATTAGTCTCATATATAGATACAGGAGCTACTTTATGTTTCGGAAGAAAAAAGATATTAAAAAATTGGGAAAAATTAGAAAAACCATTAAAAATTACAATTGCTGATAAATCAATTCACAAAATTTGGTTCGTAGGAAGAGACATAGATATAGTAATTGAAAAAGCACTATTTAAAACTCCAACTATATATCAACACGATTCGGGAATAGATTTAGTAATAGGAAATAATTTTCTTAAATTATATCAACCATTTATACAAACAAATGATCATATAAGTCTCAATCACCCAACAAAAGGTATTATAAAAACTGCAATTATCAAACATTTTGATCTTATTAAAATAATTAAACAGGAAGTTGGCTTTCAACTACGCATATTACTAACATTCGCTAAAGAAATTGCTGAAAAACAACTCGAAGAAGTATGTAGTGAAACCCGTTAGATCAATTAAAAAATAAAAATAATCAAGAAATAATAATATTATTAAAAAACCCTAATGATGAAGTTAATATTCCAAACAAAATTCCATATAGTATCAAAGATGTTTCTGAATTTAAATAAGAATGTACTAAATTACTAGAAAAGGGAATCATTCGACCTAGCACAAGTCCTCATTCTGCACCTGCATTTTATGTAGAAAATAATAATGAAATAAAACGAGGAAAACGAAGAATGGTAATTAATTACAAAAAAATGAACGATGCTACTATAAAAAGAATACATTTTGGAAAAAATAAAAGGAAATACACACTTTAGTACATTTGATGCAAAATCTGGATATTGACAATTACGCTTACATGAAAATACGAAACCACTAACCGCTTTTTCATGTCCTCCTCAGAAGCACTATGAATGGAATGTCCTTCCATTCGGTTTAAAGCAGGCACCAGCAATATATCAACGATTCATGGATGAAACCTTAAATGGTTTAGATCATATTTGTCTTGCATATATTGATGATATAATTGTTTTTACAAAAGGAAATGAACAAACACACATCGATGCAGTTATTAAAGTTTTACAAAGAATCAAAGAAAAAGGTTTAGTTTTATCAAAAAAGAAATCAAAACTTTTTCAAACTACAGTTGAATATCTTGGTTTAAAAATTGGAGAAAATGGCCAACCATCTTTAACAGACAACATACGAGAAAAATTAAATATGTTTCCTAATAAACTTGAAAATAGAAAACAAATACAACGATTTCTTGGTTGTTTAAATTATATTGCAGAACAAGGATTTTTAAAAAATTTAGCAAAAGAAAGAAGAGTTTTACAAAAGAAAATATCAGAAAAAATACCTTGGTCTTGGACAAATACAGATACTATTCTAGTACAAAATATAAAAGAAAATATCCAAGTTCTTCCTACCTTATATAATGCAAAAATCGACGATTTTCTAATTGTGGAAACAGATGCATCACAAGACACTTGGGCAGGATGCCTAAAAGCAATCATACATGGAAAAGTATTATTAGGATTAGATAGTGAAGGAAACCTCACATCTAACCCATCAAAAGTACACAATGGTAAAGCATACATTGGTATGAAAATACCATCCGAAGTAAACAATGATAAAGTATACAGTAATATGAAAATATCACCAAAAGCATACAATGAGACAGATATATCATCTGAAGTATTAAAAACCGATAAATATGAGCAAAAATTATGCAAGTATGTATCGGGAACATTTTCCCAAACGGAGCAAAATTACAGCACACATGAACTAGAAACATTAGCATGTCTCAGAACATTGAAAAAATGGAAAGTCGATCTACTCCAAACCAGATTCGAGCTACGCACAGATTCCAAATATCTACTTGGCTTTTGGCGATACAAATTACAAGAAGATTATTGTCGTGGACGTTTAATCCATTGGCAACTACAATTACATCAGTTTCACCCATACCTCAAGTATATCAAAAGTGCCAACAACCATATAGCAGACACACTAACAAGAGAATGGAAGCCATCATAAAGCAACACTAT